ACTGAACTTGAGCCTACCGATGAAATATGAGTTAGCAAAGAAATAAAAAAATCCAAAAAATAAGAAAGAAAGGGACAAATACATACGGCTGCCCACCATATAGGGCCTTTGTGAAATTATCCACTACTTGTGGCAGAAGGAGAAAAGAAAGGGCAATAATCCACTACTTTTCGGGTTGGAAGTCCCCACCAAAACAAAACCGTCCATCGCATATTCACGCTATACTAACTCCTAAAACCCTAATTAAAGCTCAGTGGGATTTCCATTTTCTCCTGCTTTGGCTTCAAATCGGACACCTAAAACCCCTCTGCATTTACAGCTACCACTCTGAGCGCGTACGATTCCATCCCGCCGAGTAAGATTACTTAAACCCTCTCCGCTACTTCATTCTATTTCGGTTTCGAAAAAGTCTGTAAATTAATTTACGAATTGTTCAGGTTTTAATGGCTGCCCCCAACAATGCGCCGACAGTTTTGGACAAGGAACAGGTAAGTACCCTTTTGCTTCATTGTTCCTAAGTTTTTACCTTTTGTTCTGCAAAAACGAATTCAAGTTTTAGATTGGATTTAATGCATGCCCAAGATTGGATTTTGGGGAAAGTTTTGGAAATTCATGGTTAGATTGTTCAATGGGTGTTGGTAATCTGGGTGTTCTGTGAGTTTGGGCTTAATTGAATTGGGTCTTATTTGACTAATTGGTCAATGATGTCGGTGTTTCGACTTTAGTAAAAGTGAAACCCAGGTATTTCCTGAGAGGTAGGAAGCGACAAGGTGGTTAATTTTTACTCTCAGTGATAGATTTTCTTTTCTTTGGTTTTGAATTATTGTTCTAAATTGGTGTTTTTCAAATAATCTCCGGTGGGTTTTGGGGAAGACGTGAATTTGGTTTTAAACAACTGTGCAGATTTTTGGTATGGCAGAGAAGGAGATGGAATACAGGGTTGAGTTGTTCAACAAGTAAGTATTTGACGGCATTAAGCTCGTCTCCTAGTTAGAGTGATTATTTAGGGCCTTCTCGTACACTATTATTTGTTTGTTTATTTTCATTTTCACCTGTGTCACTTCTATTTCCGTTGGAGATCATACATTGTTCTGATGAGCATGTATGATTGTGCGCAAAAGAACGAATGATATTTCTAAAGCTACATTATTTGGTAGTCTTGTGGCTTCAGTGTGTGAGCACTAGAGTAATTCTCACCCTTGTGTTATACACTTAGACTACCACATCTCATTAGGTTGTGCATTTTTAGTTTGGTATATGCAATTTTCTATCTGTGATACTTTAGCTTCCGAGTTATTCGGTTTTCATTTCTTTGTTTAATTGGTTCATTTATGCAGGCTCACCCATACATGTTTCAACAAGTGCGTTGAGAAGAAGTATGAACACTCTTTTCTTTTCTCTTTTTAAGATTTTATGGACCACTTTGAAGGATTTAGCATTTTACTTTTACGTCCTTTTTTAAATGATGAAGTTAGTAAATGTGAATTGTTTAAATACATCCAGGTACAAGGAGTCTGAGCTAAATATGGGTGAAAACAGTTGCATTGATCGATGTGTCTCAAAATACTGGCATGTAAGATATCACTCTGTCTTCTTCTTATCAATTTAGTGCTATGGTATTACTTGGATTAAGTTATAAGAATCAATAAACCCATTCACCCGTTAAATATTTTATTCTTCACTCTTTCGGTTGATATTTCTCACTTTAGTTTTATACCCTAAATCTATCACAATTGTAGTGTTCTGAATGGTTTCTTTGATTAAGCCTTGCGTAATTTACTTCTTACACTTCACAGTTTTCGCTACCTGCTGCAATTATGATGTGCAAATGAAGGTTGTTCTGTTATGGGTATTTGGTTGAAAAATTTTGTGGTGTGCAGGTGACTAATCTAGTCGGACAGCTGCTAGGTACTGGTCGGCCTCCTATGTAAAATTTATGCCTGGTTTGCTTTGCGACTTGCTCTTCCCTGGATAGATGCTTGGCTGGTTCTCGGGCAATTCGGAGATTGTAATTGTTCGCATAGCTATGCCTTTTCTTTTTGTCATAAGTGTGATTCCATTTTGTGGTCTGAGAAAACAATAGGGACAGGTTTTTGACATACGTCGCCCTATGTTCAAGTTCATAACAGAATTGGGCATTCGTAGTGAAGATTTCTTAATTATTTTCGTTTCTTGAATAATTGCAACTGTGTTCGGTGGTTTGCTTACACCTTAAATAGGTGGGATGGTTCTACCTTTTTGGCAGCATTGTTGAGCAGAAGTACTTGTGAAGATTTCTCTAGTTTATTTATGGTTCCAATTTTTCCCATCCATGTTTGTGGTTAATGTTTCAGTTCACTTCAGGTTACTGGTATTGTTTGTTTGATGATTCCCTTTTTCCATCTCATATACATGATCGAGTCAATCAAATAACGTTGTCGAAAATCTTTCCGTGTTTCCATCTAGCTCGAAATAGTGCATCATGACTACCGAAACATAACATAGGAAGCAAACAAACATGTAATTTGATTTTTGTCAAACGACCGACTCCTGTAGATTTGAATAGACAGAGAGACTCCAAGACCAACCTAAAGGTTGTTACCAATAACCCTTTGGTGCTGCAGAGCACGACTCAAATGGCGTGGGAATTGCTCTGCGTTCCAGTTTTATGTCTTTGGACTTCCAACTTCCAACATGCACCAACTTTTAGAGTTCCTTCAGCCTCATTGTCCATTCCTATGCTCTTAAAGGCAGCCACTTGGAGATAAAAAGGGAGTAAGCAATGCAGGGCGGTGTACGAGGGACTGCATAGCGTCTCCGAGAGCTTCTTGTGCCATATCACTCATCAAGTAACATATGCACCGTCTAGCAAACAAACTTTCCGATTGAAAGGTTTCCGACTGAAACTTTCTTGGTCCAATGCTGTCACGATGAATGAACATCAATAAGAAGCAAGAAAGGAAAACCGATCCAATCGTTTTCCCTATTTGTCTTATGCCAATGAACGTTATACAAAGTCGCAACTTTAATCATATGTCAGTGCAACGAATATCAGCATGAATTTTGGCATGTCTCAATTTCTAAGACATAACAATGAAGGTACCTACTTCTGTGTAAGAATCTATTGCGGCCGTGAAGTCTTTTGCTCGAAATGCGGCATCCCCATGCTTCTTACAGCGCTGTCTTTCCTGCATTTCGCTTGTCCAGATTTGGAAAGAAAGCTGCAAAGTAACACCAAACAAATCCAACATAGAAAGTTTGCAGAAAAACAAAAGCTAGGCAGAAAACTGAAGACCAACAAAAGTTCTTCCCCACCCCTGCGGTCAATGTCAGAAAATGAAAGACGGGGAATTCAGAATTGAGGATGACTAACTTCAGTTGCAGCTTCCTCGTCGTCCTTGTATCCAAGAATCAACAATATTTCATGTACTTCTGCAAGATCCAAACTCGAGCAAGCTTCACCTAGAGGTGACAACAATGTGTGCTTTTGTTGAGTATTTTCATATGGAACACCCATCAAAACGTATGATGGAACCTCCTACAAATCACTAGATTGATATTCTATTTGCAGCAGAAGCAAATCAACTTCGCAAAACGAATCAAGTTTTCAAATACCTCAGTTTGTTGTTGAAGAGGAACAAGGGCATTCACAAAGAGACTTGAAATATGGCCTATCACGAGATTCGTACTGCAAGCATTGTGAAGCTGAATGCGTTTGATAAATGACCTTCAGAGCATGAGTCCATCACCATCAGAAAATTTTGTCGCGTATGAGTTCAAGTCGCTTGCAGAAAGAAAATTAGGAATTACTTAAGACGTTTTTCATTACTACAAACTGGTTTGATTAAAACCGAATTCCTTGATGTGACACAATCAGATAGCTTACTTGGAGCACAAGTCACACGTAGCATAAGAAGGAAAGGGAAAATTACATGACTTGGGGGGGTATGTCTGTCACTGAGCAGATCAAGCAATAGGGTCCCGAAGTTGTAAACCAAAGTTTCCGGTATCATTCTTCCTAGCAAATAGAAAGATGTAAATTAACACGCTAAACGAAAGACCATGGATCTCGCGTAGAGCTACAAGTCCAAAGATGTTGATGCTGATTGCCATTGGCTGAAGTGAAGAAATGTTTTTGTGTGCTTGTCTCTCTACTCACGTTTCTTTTCTTTTGGTCTGATTTCTATGCAGTTTCCTGGCTAGTGCTAGGAGACTAAGGGAGGAGGTCTTCCCCAAGACTAAGAGGAGAACTGTGGAAATAGGAGGGACTAGAAATTCATGGTCACCATTAACCGTGACAAGTCATCTGAGGTATAACTTGCGTGGGGACGGGCCGGAGAAATTCATGATTCGTAGTGAACTGCTATTCTGTTTCGTTAAAGTTTCAAAACCCTAGCTATGCCCGTATTTCCGGAATTACTGTTCGCCCAACTTGTAAGGTGCACGATGATTTCGATCATGTTGTGATACACGATAATACTATTATGTATCTCCTTCATGGTATTAAAAGACTATCTGCCTATTGACAATTGGTTTTCGATTTCATGTTCACATTTTAACCTCGTGTCAAAAGCTATCCACGTACAAAGCCAAACAATCTCTCATTGTTACTAAAAACTGAACACGTGTTAGGCTCAAGATATCATACACATGAGGGGACGTGCTAAGAGTTTTTTCACATTAAAGATGAACGTCTTGTGTTAAGGGCTTAAAAGATCTTGAGCCTCTCTAACCAATGTTGTAATTTAAACGGATCAACTCATACAAGTGAAAGTAAAACGAAATAGCTTGAACGGTCTAAGTTGCCCCTAACAATGTGGTGACCTTTGGTTTCTTGTCTTTTAATTTCTACAATTTTTTACAGAGGTGAACTACGATTCTAAACTGCGCAATAGGAGATTCGAACTCAGGTGTTCTTCCTTATTTCGTTGTCTCAAGCAACCGGAGAACGAGAACATTCAGTAATCTTATTTCGTTGTTCGTCCTCATTGGTAACAAAGCCCTTGGAGTAATGTACAGTATTAAAATGAATATAATCAGGATGATATTTTACACAATGAAATATTCAAAATCTATATACAAGATACAACATCAGCATCTGACCATATACTGCAGAGGAAATAACAACTAATTTTTTAGTACAATTTTTCTACATAGCCACAGGATGCTTCAGATCAAAATAAATGAAAATATACATCATAATGATTTTTATGGCCAATCCTTTCATGCTAGATCAGAAGAAACTAAGATGCCGAAGAGGGAATCGATAAAATAGATGCAGGTTTAGATGAAAGAAGCGGGAAACACCTACTCACTTCTCAGCTTATCTAGTTTCTTTACTTCCAAGGATGCGCCAACACTTAGAATTTCCGCGGCATCATTGTCCATCCCTAGGCTCTTTAGGGCAGCCGCTTGAAGATAGAAGGCGTTTGGCCATTCACGCTTTAGTGCTAGGGCTTCATCACCATCTTGAAGAGCTTCTTCTGCCCTGTTACTCATTAAGTAACACAGGCACCGTCTAACCAACATAGTTGGCGATTTCCCATTCACACGATCAAAGTACTGCAACGAAAATAAGGAGATTCACTAACTAAGATGATAAGTGAATCCAACCTACCCTGTATCTATAATTTAATATGCTAGAACTAAACTGGCAAAGGTAATTTTTTAAGTGATCAGAGCTTAAATTTTCATAACCCCACTGCTGATCATGATGGATGATATAGTACTAAATCAATGCCCTTCCAATATATCTGGAGATTACAGAAATTATGACAAGATAGTTTTGCGGTTCAAGTTTACTTACTTCTGTATAAGAACTTATTGCGGTGGCAAAGTCTTTCTCTTTGAATGCAGCATCACCCCTCTTCCTAAAATCTAATGCCTCCTTCATTGGCTCTGTCCACATGTCGAAAGAAAGCTGCAAGGAAGTTTTAAAGGGCCGTGCGTTAAACATAGTTTAGCATTAAACGTTTGGTAATAAACGTAAGTGATCACTGCAAGAAAGACAGTTCTTTTCTCCCTTGGCAGATATCGCAAAATAGAACATTCAGAAGTTGGAATTGAGATCACTAACTTCGTGCCCAGTTTCATCATCCTCGTATCTAACTTTCACCAATATCTCATGTATTGCTGTAAGATCCAATCTTGTGCAAGCGTCAGCTAGAGGTGACAGCAATATCGGTTTTGGGGGCACATTTCCATCGGGGGTACCCATCAGAACATATGACGGAACCTGTGAAAAACTACTACATGAGAGGATATACTAGTATTGCATATGCAGCATTGATGCTAATCAGCTTTTGCAACAGACGCGATACCAAATCAAATTTCAAAGCGTACACCAAAGAATGACCATTCCCAATTAAATAAAGCCTGCATACCTCAATTTCTTTTTGAAGAGGGACAAGGGAAGTCACAAGAGAATTGATATTCGGCCTCTTATGAGGTTCAGACTGCAAGCATTGTGAAGCTAACTGCACCACCGCAGTTCCGTCATCATTTGAAACATGACCTTCTAAGCACGAGTCCAACAGCATCAACAAACTTTTATCGCGTATGAGGTCAAGCGCCTGGCAGAAAGAAAATTGAAAATAATTTAGCCACGAGATTTTCAATGACAATCCAATTCATGAACATTTAGAGCCAATTATTTAATCTGGCAATGCATATAATGAAAAACAAGCTAATAACTTTAAGCGCTTTAGAACACAAGTTACATTTATAAGCCATAAACTTTCCACTGGATTTGAGGAACAATATCAGAACAACAATCCACCTCAATGAAAGACATTAGGAAAAGGAAAATTACATGAGCTGGTGGGATACGTCTACCACTGAGCAGATCAAGCAATAGGGTTCCAAAGCCGTAAACCACACCTTCTGGTATCACTTTTCCTGCCAACCAGAAAGCTATAAGTTAGCTCCAGCACGGGCTTCGTTGCCTCAGAAATTTTATTCACTACTCATGCATACCGATATAGAAGCTATAATCTCTTACTTTCCCTCCCCTCCCCTCCCACCTTCTACCAAACAGTGTATGCATTACAAGATTGAATACTTTTCTCGATTGGATAAAGCTATTAAGGCGTTACCTTTCTTCGCGTATTTGGTAGGGTTGAAAGCGAGGTTGGTACTATAACTCTGGCCATCTTTTATATTCTTCATAAGTCCAAAGCAGGAGAGTCTGGGATTTAATTCCTGTCGAGTGCTGACTCAGTGTAAGGAAAGACCATCAAAAAACTACTTATAACTTGTAAAAGATAAAACCACCCCCATTGATTACCTGATCAAACAGGACTTTGCAAGTATTAAGATCATGGTACGATGCCCGCTCTTTACTGCTGCAGTATGCCAAAGCTTGCGCCGTGTACAAAGCCACTCGCAACCTCATTGCCCATTTCATAGGCTGGTTCTCGCCTACACCAGTTATAACCGATTCAATAATTAAATTGTCTACTTCTATCCATACAATTAACAACACCCGAAAAGTAAAAATCTCGACGGTAATCATAGAAATAAACCAAATTTTGTAATAAAAGATCAGACTAGCAAAGGAAAAGAACTTTGTAACATTAGAGTGGAACTTACAATGGAAAAGATGCTCGGAGAGAGTACCATTAGGCATGAACTCTGCCACAAGCAATCTCTCATCCCCTTCACAGCAGAACCCGATCAGATTCGCCAAACGCTTGTTCCTCAGCCGCCCCACAGCTCTAGCTTTCTCCTATAACCATACACAACACATATTATTACACTGAAATTCTCTGTGCAGGACGTCGGTTCTTTATTTGCGCAGCACATAATAAAGGACGGATGTTCGTTTCATAGCCGGACTATAATACTACAATGCACAAATTTCATAAAGAAAATTTAGTCTAACTGTCAAACTGACCAGAAATTGGCGGGAATCGGGCCAAGCGGAGCAGCTGAAACGCTTAACGGCGATGCAGCGGCCGTCTTGGAGCTTGCCTTTGTAGACCACATTCGGAGCATTCTCGCCATGCTTGGAGACAACTTTCTCCGACGAGAACTGCAACGTGGCAGCTCTCAGCTGGTGCAGGCTGAACTCACTGAACCCCGGCACCGGAGACAGAGAGTACACTTGGTCTCTCCCCACATTCTCTGCATTTCATACATGAAAAATAAGAAAACAGTAGGGATTTTCCCGGGAAAGTGACGAAAAAAAAATTGGAAAGTGTAAAAGAATCAACAGGAAAACGCCTCGCCTGCGTCTAACGAGTCATCGAAATTTGATATGGTGCTGTGCGGCCGGAAGCAAAGGCAGAAAACGTTTCCCATTTGGCCGAGGAATCAAAATCTAGTGAGAAACGCTCTGAAATATGTAACCGTGCGGCTTTCTCTCTCTAAAAAGTTTGGCGTACGTCTCTGCTTCTGCCGCCACTTTGCAGCGGCAGTATATGATTTGTAGAGGAAGCCACCACGCGGTTTTCGCATCGACTTCGGTCGGGACAGCGCAAAGTCAACAAGGAGAAATTTCCATCCGAATTAAACAAAAGTACTGTTTCATTACACTACAAGTTTTTCGTTCACACACACAACCCTATAACACTATACAAGTTTTTCGTTCACACACAACCCTTTCATATTTATGACATCGTTGGGAATGAATCATACATTGAAAAGAAACGAGAGATTTTACATGAGTTTATAGAGTAAATTGTAGCAATAGTCTTTCAACTTTAATCAAATTGGATTAATGGTCCCTTAACTAAAAATTCATTACCATTGGTCCCTCAACTTATGAAAATGTGTAGCAATCCTTTTCATCAATTTCGTTAAAATTTTATCAAAATAAGTTATATTGGGATAACCATTTATACAATTAGGGTCTCTCAACTCATCAAAGTATGTAATTATGGTCTTTTTTGTCAACTACGTCAAAATTTTTGTCAAAACGAGTTATGTTGGAAGGATCATTGCTACAATTAGGTTAAAGTTAAGAGATCATTTCTCCAATTGAAATAAAGTTGAGGGACCAATGGTAATGGATTTTTAGTTGAGGGACCATAGCTGCACGTTTTGATGAGTTGAGGGACAAGTAGTAATGGATTTTTAGTTGATGGACCATTGCTCCAATTGAGTTAAAGTTAAGAGACCATAGCTGCAATTTACTCGAGTTTATAAGTAAATTGGCTACTTCTATTATGACCAATTGATTTTATAATATAATCTTAACTTTTTTCATAGTATTAAAGTATGTTGTCCTATGTATGAAACTCAACAGTCACACGTATTCCACCTGTTGGCGTGTTGTATTTGAATGACATGACAGGTTATCTCTTCTTAGTATGAGAGAAAAATAAGAAAATGATTTCTTAAATATTGAAAAGGAATGAAGAAAAGTGTAGGGGAGATTTTGGAGGAAATGGGTAGCAGAAACAAAAAGGGTTTTTCTCTTCTTTGTGCGGCTACAATTTGACAAATGCCTCACCATGTCAAAGACAATCTAAACAAATCCTCACTTGGAGAAAAACTTGAGAGTTTGAGAGAAAAGAAGGACTCACTGGTACGTGAGAGCGAAATCCTCTTAATAGAAAATCAAGAGAGTAGATCCACATTTTTTTGTGAGAATGTTTTATATTCTCATTATTTTGATAGCGAAAATTATCGCCATTTTTATTAGTTCATTATAATAAGAGATGTGATATACACACTTATTTTTCCTTCTTATACATTCTTTTAATTTTCGACCATCGGATTAGATGAATTGAAGAAAATCAAAGGACAGAAATTACAAGAAGTGTGTAAGAAGTAAAAAAAAAAAAAAAGATGTGCGGATAGCACACCCCCACAAGAACACACAAGTAAAAAGAGTTAATCCCCTACAATAACACGAGTGAAAAGAGTTCAATCCTAAGATTGCCAAAATTCTATCTTGGCTTTTAATAATTGTCATATTTTCAAACATGAAATCATAAATAAATAAAATTAGTCGCAAATACCATATTAAAACAAAACAAAACGAAGATAGGGATTCGTGATATCTTCTAAGAAAATTAAAAATGCCACTAGACTAGAGGTCCTATAGTTTAATATTGACTTTTTTAGGTACTTATTGTCCCATTCGAATTTCTGCGTCCACGAGAACGCGCAATATGCAAAAGCCTTGCCAACGTTCTGTGAGATTTCTCTCTCATTTTCCGACTCCAAAAAAGAAAACGAGGAGCCATCTGTAGTGCATTGTAGTCCATGGAATGGACCCATCCATCTTATACACACACACACACGTACGGTCACTTGTAAGAGAGATTCTTAGATACAACCAATGATATTTCTGCGCTCGTCTCCTTTTGAATATTGTAATTTAAAAGAAATAATTTAGATTTGACAACCCTGCTAAATTCACAACAGAAACATTAGTTGAAAATGGATTTAAATCCCATCTGGATCTAAATGGTGAGGATCCTAGAGATCCTCACATCCTTAAGATCCCCACAATTTGGATCTAGATGGGATCCTCATCCGTTGAAAATAGCCGAGTTGCCAAAAAATAAACAAACAATAGCAATTCATCATTTGGTTCTGCAGAACAAAGGAAAGATAGGGTGGGGAAAGGAAAGACGGAGTGGGGAAGAAGACGGTAGAGAAAATTTGGGAAGAAAAAGGAGAGAGAGGAGGGGAGGAAAAAAAATGAACCATCAGATTAATTTCATGGTGCACATTAGTTAGTAGGAAAAACAACCATGAGAGTTTAGAATATAAAAAAAATAATAAAAGATTATACTTAAGACTTGCCATGTGACGAGTTGTGATTTAACGGTTGACTGTAATGCTACAGGGCAAGATACAATGGCAAGCAAAATCCCGCCCAAGTTTTCCTCACAGAAGAGTGGTAAGATGTCAAAGAAGAATGGACAAAACTAGAAACAAAGCATACATGAAACTGCACAGAATATATGCCGAGTGTGATAATTCTAATCTTCTAACTAATCACACCTTTAACAACTATAATAGTCAAACACTAGCTAAATGAGTCGGGCAACTGCTGACATGGATTTTGCGCTGACTTGTCATCTGAGATGGCTGTATGATAGGTACTCTTTCAGAAAGATGGGGGATCAAGATCAATTATTTGTACACTGTAACTACAGGTATGGGATGTGTGTTAAGTAAAATAGGGTTTAGCATGTTGGGCCAAGCAAGCTTGTTCCAAGCCTTCGAGCCACGTACCCAAGGGCGTGAAACGATAACTATTTCGTTTTTTGTTTTGTCGAAAAAATGAATTTTTCTCGGATCATTAAAGAGGTAAACATATTGATCCAAAAGACATCTTACATAAGGAAACAAACAAGAAACTTGATTCCTATGTATCAAAATACAAGAAAAAGAAACACCAAGACCAAATGCCAAAGTGGGAAAGAAAACTAGATACAAATTTAAATGAAAGAAGAGGGAGAAAACACCTATACAGTTTCAGTTTTTGTTTCTTTTGGCTTCCAAGGATGATCCGTCTTGTAGCGTTTCCTGCGCATCATTGTCCATCCCTAGGCTCTTTAGTGCAGCCGCTTGAAGATAGAAGGCCATTGGCCATTCGGGGTTTATTACTAGGGCCTGCATTGCATCTCCAAGAGCTTCTTGTGCCATGTCATTCATCAAGTAACATAAGCAACGTCGAGCAAACACAGTTGGGGATATCATTGTGCCACCATCAATGAACTGCAATAAGTAACAAAGATCCACTTGGGAGTAAGATGAGAAGCACATCCAATCTTTGTAATCATGAAAGTTCACGGAAATCATATATCGCTAAAGCTTTCAACTAAATGAACGTGTTTCCAATATCACAAGTATTGATCAATATGTATATGGATTCTCATGACAGAAGTTAAGACCAGCAGATTTTGTAATCTTAATTTTGTGCCTTACTTCTGTGTAAGAATCTATGGCAGTAGCAAAATTTTTGGCTCGAAATGCAGCATCTGCACGCTTCTTAGAATTCAACGTTTCTTGTATTTGATTTGTCCACATTTGGAAAGAAAGCTGCATGGTAACTTCAAACTAAGCGCGGTGCATTACACAAAAACCAACATAAAAAGTAGCTCATACACATAACTGAGGCATAAATTGACCAAAAAGAAAATAATAATGGCTGGTAGATATCAGAATAGAGAACACATAAAAGATAGAATTAAGGATCACTGACTTCATTTGCAACCCCCTCATCATCCTTGTATCCAAGCTTCTCCAATATTTCATGTATTGCAGTAAGATCCAGTCTCGAGCAAGCTTCACCTAGAGGTGACAACGATGTCTGATTTAGAAGCGCATTTCCTTGTGGAATACCCATCAAAACATATGATGGAACCTGCTACAAACCACTACATGAGATTACATAATACCGTCATGGTATTCTATTTGCAGGGTTACTGCAAAATAGGTTTGCAAAACAGAGAGAAGAAATCAAATCATTTTTGCATCAGCGCACCTCAGTTTCTTTTTGAAGAGGAATGAGAGCAGTCACAAGAGACTTGGCATTTGGCCTCTCACGAGGTTCATACTGCAAGCACCGTGAAGCTAACCTCACTAGCTCAGTTCCATCATCATTTGAGAAATGACCTTCCAAGCATGAGTCCATCAGCATCAAAAAGTTTTTGCCCCGTATCAGGTCAAGTGCCTTCCAGAAAGAAAATCGGTGATTATTAGCCAGAAGCTTCTTAATATGACAATCTTGTTTCAATGGAATTATAATTACCATCTATTTCAAAAAAATTATACGCCAATTATATAATCAGGAAATTCTGCAACACCACCAGATAGATTTAACTTAGAGAAATTTTAAACAAGTTACTTTTGTAGGCCTTTCCACAGGATGTCGAGAAAAATGAGCAACCATCCACCAGAATTATATCAAAGAAAAGAAAAGAAAAGTTACATGGCTAGGGGGGATATGTTTTCCACTGAGCAGATCAAGCAATAAGGTCCCAAAGCTGTAAACTAAACTTTCTGGTATCACTCTTCCTGCCAAACAGAGATAAGAATTAGCTTCACTAAAGACGTTTATCGCCTCAATAAATGTGTTCAAACTCACACTTAAAAATGTAGAAGCATTAAGCCCTTTCTGCTCGTGCAAATGATACCAGATCCCTCTTAATGTATTTATATAGTAAGTTGAAAATTAGCAATCAATACAATAGCACAACTAAAGACTTGATGTGTTCAAAACTTATTTCTTTGAGGGGATAAAGAAATATGCAAAAGAGATCATGAATAACAGATACACATATCCAGCCCCAAAGGCCACTACTCCGGCAGCCCTAGTTGAATAATCAGTATTGGTGGCGACTTTTTAAGTCACTAAGATAAAATGCATTAAAAGGAATTCCAGTAACTCATTAGTTGAGGTTTGTATAGCATCCTCACTTGTTTTTCCCCTCCAGTTGTTTTGCATAAAGGAGAATCTTTGAAGAGAAAGACACAAAGTTTCACTCTAGGAAAAAATATGGCCTTCGTAATTTACATTGGAAGACGCGACAAA